AAAGGACCAGCATAAACCAGCAAAAGGACCAGCATAAACCAGCAAAGGACCAGCTTAAACCAACATCCCAGCGTCTAAACATACCTAACCAGCATATGCTGTTTTTTTCAGCTCGCTGGTGGAACTTTGTATTGTGTGACGTAGTCCAGTGAAGGCGTGTTTAGGGCGGGTTTTACAGGAGTGCTGCGAGGCTACTGGCCCGACAGTGGAAATGAGGCATGATTTCGGCCTCTGTGGTCGAGGTCCGAGGCTATTAGCCCCGCCCAGCTCGCTGTAAGCCCCGGCTCGCACTGGCCAGTGGAAAAGCGGCTAATGGGTGAAGATGGCAGAAGACTGTACATTCGCGAGATGGACGTATGCGCATCTTGTCATGGCATTAGAGTTTACATATAGTCCTGTTGTCTAATATGAATAGACCCAAGCTATTCACAGATATTGCCAGATAATCACTTTACCTCTACCATACTTTTAACAGACTTGGATCGTTTGTGATTCTGGCTGTCATCCTTTCTGGCATTGTCTTGAGCCTTCACTTTGCCAATTATAAGCTATATTGTTAGTAGCCTGGATAGCCCACAGTCATTATGATACACCATATCGCCCTCTACTGGATGTAAAATGCTCTGCAGTACATTTTGTCATTTTAGAATGTTAAGTTCTACTTCTGTAGTTATTTTGGTGAAAGTAACTCAAAAGTAATACAGGAGTCATGTAACGCATTACAATTCTGAGACAGTAATATTGTAAGGTAAGGAATTACTTTTAAATAACAGTAACAAGTAATCTATAATGTATTACAGTTTGGAAGTAACTTGCACAACACTGCTCTTTTGTTAGTTATGACTGCTTTTATTGTCCTCATTTGTAAGTCGCTTTGGATAAAAGCATCTGCTAAATGACTAAATGCGAATGTTTTAGCTTCACCGAGAACCAATGAGGTTCATTTTCGTGTGTCACACAAATATGTTTGAGGTTCAGCAGAAACCAATGAGATTTGTTCTCCTGCATCAAGCAAGTACGGTTGAGCTTCCATTTACCCTATTTGATGAGTGGATGTATGTGCATTGATCAATGTTTTTAAGTGAATAAAAGCCTATAATATAAAGTGATTTGGATTAAACCGCTCTATTCGTGTGGATTCAATTTCTTTATGAACTTTTTGAAGCGTGAAAGTTTTGGTAGAATGGTCTTTTAAAGGAGGGATAGAAATCGCTCAGGTTTCATTCAAAATGTCTTCATTTGTGTTTTGAAGATGAACAAAAGTCTTATAGGTTTGGTATGACATGAAGGTGAGTAAACACCTTTTTGGTGGACTATCCCTTTGACTGCATCGAGAATGTTGTTATTCATCTTGTATTTAAGAGAAAAACTTTAGAAGAAGTAGGAACTCCAATCACTTGTGGATAAATCAGATTTGGGAAGGTGTGTCCAGCAGACTTTCTGTCTCGAGATAATCCAGAGAGACCCCCAGACACACCCCGATCTGAGAAACGGGGTGCTTTCAGTCAAAATTTGTCCTTGTATTTAGACAGACCGCGATCCAAATAAAGACTGCAGCCTCTCACCAGCCCATAACAACACACACACACACACACCCTCAAGCTCACATGGAGTACTGCATTTGTTTTGCTATGAGGCTGTATGCTGTTGGTAATAATGGTTGGATGTAGCAAGTGTGTAAGTTAACGGCACTTAAAATTATATAATAGATTCTAAAATGGTCTAATATTATAAAAGCATTTTAACATGTTTGTCTTTAGGAGGTAGGGAGGGCAAAGAGGAACAAGGTGGTCCACATCGCAATGGAGATCATGAGCTCAGAGAAAGTGTATGTACAAAAAAAAAAAAGTATTTCATTAATGCATATTCATATTTAATAGTTTATATGAACACATTTATGGGGAATTATTTCATTGAGTTTATATTTTGGTTGTGTGTTTGTGTCTGTAGGTTTGTGGACGTTCTGAAGTTACTTCACATCGTAAGTCATCACTGTTTTAACTGGATCCAGATTCGAATCAAGAATTTTGTTTGTAGTGCTTCACGTCGTGCCTAACAACGCCCCTTAACCGTTATAGATTCACTGTAAACCACGGCTTCTTGGGGCTTATTGCTTTAGTTAGCGTACTTTATAGCGTACTTTATCAGTGCCAACATTATTTTTATTTTTAGTTAACAATAACAACAATGCCAAGACATTGCCACTCTTTATTTATCTAATTTAAAGCACCATTTCTAAGAAAAATACAAATAAAAATCTAGATACATTCCAGTCGACTTCACTAGCCAACTAGTTAGACAAGTAGTGATGCATCCTGACCCATCCCTATTCAGAGAGACGTAAAGAATTAGAAAGTCAGAATTAAAGTGAAAATAGACAGGAAAGAGACAACAGAGGAAAGACGAGAGGAAGAGCTTGTCCAGAGAGACTGTGGTTGAGGAATAAGAGATCAACGGACAGAGAGTTTCGGAAAGAAATTACACCCACCCTCCCTTTAACCCACTTGTTTGGCCATGACCCTGAACAGCTGTCCTAAAGACGTGTGTGTGTGCGTGTGTGCGTGTGTGCGTGTGTGTGTGTGTGTGTGTGTGTTTGTGAGAGAAAATGTTCTCTCTACTTCCTGTTAAAGCTGTAGATGGACTGGGCTGTCAATTTATGCTCTTCAGTTTGTTTGTTTTTACCCTGATTGTGTTTGGAAATGTTTAGTCGAGCGCTGTTAATTGTACCTTGAAAGATTTATTGCGAAAACTTCAAATGGACTCTTATTGGCACTGTTTGTGGTTTTATTTAAGTTTAAATGCTCATAAATGAAGTCATAGTTTGAATTCACGGATGTTTGTTGCTATTACTCCTCTTGTCTAGCTGTCTCTGTTTTGTTGGCAGTAGCTAACATCTCCATTTCTGTGTCAGGATTTCCGAGATGCAGTTGCCAAAGCGACTCGTGCGAGCGGGAAGCCGTCGGTCGAGGAGAAAGTGTTGAATCAGATCTTATACTATCTGCCCCAACTCTACGAACTCAATAAAGACCTGCTGAAAGAGCTGGAGGAGAGAGTGGCCCACTGGTAACACACATAAACAATATGAAAGCTAAATGTGTTGCGAATGAATTTCATGTCATTTTTGTGTTTGAGTAGCATGTATGTTTTGTGGATAGCAGTAGAGAGAGTTCAAAAAAGGATGCAAAAGAATGAGGGTATTTAGAAGTTGGATGGTGTTTATTGATCTTTTTAAGAAGTCTAAATTATAATAAAAATTCCTACATTTCTCATTTCTCAATTTTGTTTATGGGCATCTCTCTGACTACTGCAGGTCTGATCATCAGAGATTGGCTGATATCTTTGTTCAGAAAGGTCCGTATCTGAAGATGTACTCTACCTACATACGAGAGTTTGACCATAATGTGGCTCTGCTGGATGAACAATGTCGCAAAAATCCTCCTTTTGCTAACGTTGTGCGTCAGTTTGAGGTAGGAGTTTGTGCGGGCCGCCACAAATAAATCAATGTATGGGAAACACTGGACACTGTTTTAGTAGTTGTTGCATGATTCTACACCTACGGACAATGAAAAATGCTTAACTTACTGCATGTAGCTTATTTTAACTGTAAATTTTAAGTTCAGTAAATATACTTGTAGTCAAGTATAGGTATTTTTTAATACTTAATACATTTGCAGCTGCATTTTATTGTTATTATTTTAATTATTTAATTGTTTGTATTTCTTTAACTTTATTATTAAAGTTATTATCAGTAATAATAATAATTATAGAAAGAAAACAGAAAAGAAGCTTTCTCCAATCACATTGTATTTAGTAGATCAAAAAATATTTCTGATGTATCTGATATTTCTGATAAAAAAAATTTACTTTTGAAATGATCTAAAATTATAACATACTACATAACATACTGTGCATAATATACTATTACACTGATTAATCAATGCTGAGTGGTCTTTTGTTAAAGGGGATATGTGTACTTTTTAAAACCGGGAAACCTGTTTGAAAACAGTCATTTACTGCGTTTCCATTACCATTATTGCAAATTAAAAATGCGCCCAATATCGCAATCCTATATATCGCAAAAAAAGGTTTTTATGCTCCCATGAGGTGGTTTTTCAGGCAATTTGAAAAAGTAAACTGTTTCACAAAACTGCAATGAACATTTTTTTTTTTTTTTTCGCATTTGCAGGTAAATAGTGTATGTGAAAGTCACATGATCATTTTTAATGTACTATAACCTCCAAAAAAACACCTCATACGTGGCCGCTCTCAAGTATAAGGGGCTCTCCTTGGCATTAATGCTTTAATAAACCCTTATTTACACTGCACACTCCGACACAGCCACTCCAGTCACTGCTTGTGTTTTCACCAGCCGCTGCGGTATGCTTCAGAAGCAGCTCTCCACGCTGCTTCGCCAAAGATACACTACACTATCCTTCGATGAAAAATAATGGCTAGTGCGGTGGCTGCGATTTTACGTAATCCTACCATCATCTGTCTCCATGACTTGTCACGAGAGGGAAAAAATTATGTTCTAGTCGCATAACATTGGTTAATGGAAACGCCGTCATTTCGCAATAGTTCATTTTATCGACATTTATAAAATAAGGTTTTACGCAAATCTGTAATGGAAACCAGGCCAGTGTTTTTTGCAGTTTTGTTTTTTCCATTTGGTAATGCTTCACATTTAAGATTTCACTTTTTTATTCTTAGATGAGTCCTCGCTGTGCTAGTCTTGCTTTGAAGCATTACCTGCTGAAACCGGTGCAGCGGATACCTCAGTACCAGCTCCTGCTCACAGGTACACACCATCAGATGAGTACACACTGCAATCAACATTAGAACAAGAGCATATCAGGCCCATCACAGGAAGCCAAACACAGCAGATACATCATTTGTTTTAGCTAGTGGACTTTTTGAGTTTTGGCTAGAGGAGGGACCGTTTGGTCAAATTAAAGTGAATTTAATTTTCAAAAGTTATGATTAAACTTAAAGTAATTAAAGTACTTTAATGAATACAATCAATCTCTGTAACCAATTCTGAGTCTTCCAATTAATTTTCATGTCTCTTTCAGATTATTTGAAGAACCTTCCTGAGGATTCATCTGACTATAAAGACACACAAAGTAAGAGCACACCATTTCCCTAGAAATGATACACACTAGAGCAGGGACTCGTATTATGCAGCTAAGGTGCCACTTTTAGTAAATGACCAAGGCCCAGTAAATAAATAAATAAAATAAAATGACCTGGTAAAATTCCCATTAACCAGCAATTACAGCTAGGGCCATTGTCTTAGACCAGCCTCATATTTTTAACCTCATTCATCAAAATCATAAATGCCGGTCAGGCATTCCTAATTTTCATAGATGCTTCCAAAATGTCTGTCTTTTTTTTTTTCACCCTTTCTATTTTCTAAATGCATGTTATTGATCTTATTGACATTGGCATTCATCTGTTTCACTCAGACGTCTGTCACAATAAGGAAAAAAAGATCGGACACTACTTCCATTTCACCGTCATTTGTAATATTTGATAAAAAATCAAATTTACAATAATTGATCTGTCATTAAGAAATCTGTGAAGCTTTTGACTTTATTTTTTTTGTAAAAGATGTTTATTGAACTTCTGTTTGTTTGGTTTACCCAGCTGCTCTCAGTGTGGTGAAAGAAGTGGCAAACCACGCGAACGACATCATGAAGCAAGGGGTAACACAACAAACACAACCAAACCACCATTAAAGGGTTAGTTCACCCAAAAATGAAAACTCTGTCATTAATTACTCACCCTCATGTCGTTTCAAACTCGTAAGACCTTCGTTCATCTTCGGAACACTAATTAAGATATTTTTGATGGAATCTGAGAGCGGTCTGACCCTGCATAGACAGCAACACAACTGAAATGTTCCCAAGTCCAGAAACGTAGCAAGGAGATCTGTAAAATAATCCATGTGACATCAGTGGTTCATCCGCAATTATACGAAGCTACGAAAAATAACTTTATTCGACTGGACTTACCAACTTATCAGTTGGACGTAAACAGCGTATGCTGTTCTGTGTCAGCTGCGTCACACGGATATGCTGTTTCCGTTCAGATCAAATCACAACAACGTAGGAAACAGATCCGACGTGATGCAGCTGACACAGAACAGCATACGTTGTTTACGTCCAGCGGATACTCTCCAAAATGGCACCAGGGTGATGTGGAGGAGACGAATTGTTGAATAAAGTCGTTATTTTTTTCTTTCTTTTGCGCACAAAAAGTATTCTCGTAGCTTCGTATAATTGCGGATGAACCACTGATGTCACATGGATTATTTTACCGATCTCCTTGCTACATTTCTGGACTTGGGAACATTTCAGTTGTGTTGCTGTCTATGCAGGGTCAGACAGCTCTCAGATTCCATCAAAAATATCTTAATTTGTGTTCCAAAGATGAGCGAAGGTCTTACGGGTTTGAAACGACATGACGGTGAGTAATTAATGACAGAATTTTCATTTTTGGGTGAACTATCCCTTTAAGACCTCATAAATATGAATGACTTTGACTTATAACACACATCTCATTTTTTTCTAGGATAACTTTCAGAAGCTGATGCAGGTTCAATACAGTCTGAACGGTCACCATGAAATCGTCCAGCCTGGCAGGGTAAGAAACTTAATTACCACTGATTCATCGTGTCTGAGCAGTGCCTGAGGCCTCTGCGTTGCTAATCTAACATGCTCTTGTTGCATATGCAGGTTTTCTTAAAGGAGGGCACTCTGATGAAACTCTCCAGGAAAGTTATGCAGCCCAGAATGTTCTTCCTGGTAAGAAACTGTGGTCAAATATGTTGAGATTTAAATGATGATCAAATGTTTATTATAAAATTGACAGTGTTATTTTAGTATCATTTATATACTGTTATAGTGTTTGTTTGTTTTTTTGCTTTTATTTTATATTTTCTCTTTGTGTTTTTGTCATTTTTATTAATACTTTAAAAAAAAATATTGATATTTAGGTTTCATGTATTTTTATTTCAGTTTAGTTTTTATTTATTTCAAGTTAGTGCAACAACTTAAACTTATTTGAGTAAGTTGCCAAAGCAACATTTCTAATTTTCATCATTCATTTAGATTAAGCTTTTCATCTTTGTTCCTATCTTATTATCTCTGTTTATTTATTTTTATATACTTATTAAATAATTGCACAGTCTATGGAGTGGACCTGATTTACATTTCACTACATTGTTTTATGCTGTCTATATAACTGTGTACGTGACATAACAATTTTGCATCTTAATATTTATATTTTTCAGCTTTTTTTCAGTTAACACAAATGTTTTTAATATTTTAATTTTAGTCAATGATAATAACCTAGAAAATTGATATTTCCAACTGACTGAATCATATTTGAGGCAGTAAAACTAAAAAGAGACACAGAACTGTGACCACAAACAAATATTACTATGTGCATTAATGTGGTCATTTACAAAACGGGAAATTGCTGCATATGACAGGAAACTGAATGGTGTAACACTTTTTTTGGACATCCAGTAAATTGTCTTTCTCTTAACAGTTTAATGATATTCTGCTATACACAACACCCGTTCAGTCTGGCCAGTATAAAGTCAACAGCATGCTCTCTCTGGCTGGCATGAAGGTCAGATATCCACCAGCATAATACTCCCTTACACACACACACACACAAACTCACAAGAGATGTAACGTGTGTGTCCCACATCTTCAATAGGTGAGCAAACCAAGTCAGGAGGCCTATCAGAATGAGTTAAACATTGAGAGTGTGGAACGCTCCTTCATACTGTCTGCCAAGTAAGAAATACACACACACACACACACACACACACGTAATGATTTATGTGTGGGTTCTACATGAAAGAAATATCAGCAGTGGAAAGAATAATTATATACACGATAATGATCCTTTGATCACTTGTGCCAAAACAATATTTGGTACTTATGTTTAATTAAATTGAAATCACAGACTGTAAATGATGTTTGCAGTTCAGCCACAGAAAGAGACGAATGGCTGGAAGCCATCGCTAAAGCAATAGATGACTACACCAGAAAGAAGATTTCTTTCTTTTCCAGTCGAAGCCAAGAGGTGGGTGCATTTAAGCGTGATTGATTTTTTATGTGTATCTTTCTGTGTTTTCATCAAATTTATAGGGTCTTCACTGACATGCGTATACACTGCTAAAAGTAATTTTTGTCTTGTTTTCCAGCATAAATATTTAAACATTCTTTAAAGGGGTCATATGATGCGATTTCAATTTTTCCTTTCTCTTTGGAGTGTTACAAGCTCTTGGTGCATAAAGAAGATCTGTAAAGTTGCAAAGACTAAAGTCTCAAATCCAAAGAGATATTCTTTATAAAAGTTAAGAGTCAGTCACACCTACCTAAAACAGCTCGTTCTAACACGGCCCCACATATCTACCTCACTATGTGGGAAGATTTGCATAATGCATCCTTCTTCGAATCCACCAGCCGCGCTGTTCTTAAGCCCGCCAGCCGCCGCTCCCT